CAGATTATATCAGTTTACAGTCCATGAAAGCCTCCTCTCGGAATGACAGGCTCACCTCCTCATTAGCTGCATGTAAACCTGCGGCATATGCTTTGGCATTTCGGGTTCCTCGCGCCTCTTGAGCATCCAGCATTGCCTCAAAAGGATCATCTGAATCAGAGGGAAACCGCTCTCCACTTATAGATGTTTGCTGGGTTAGAACAGATAAGCAGTTACTATGGCAATGGCTGAGTTTTAAATAAGTTGCAGGGAGCAGTTTTCAGATTTTTCCCTCACCTGCCGTGCAATCTCTCGATGCTTGCAGTGAAACTTTCCAAACCACATCTGATCGAATAGATAAGGCTCGATTTGAGTTATGAGCGGGAGTTTCCACATCCTGCAAAAGCAGCTGAGGAATGTTTGTGCGCCAAAAATCATAAGTGAGTACATCCTAAATAAAAAGGGCCATAAATAAATAATAGATCAGATTGTTGTAACACAGCTTGAGACTTGGCTAATGCAATTACAAGAGTGCAGGATGCCAATAAAAACACTACATGGACTTGTGTGAAATCTTTTTTTGTTTACTTCTGTATTGTGTAGTTACTATCATGAGTTTCCTAACTGGTACTATCAAGCATAATATGTTATACGTGATTCACTGATCATTGCACAGAACTGTACTTTCTCAAGCAAGCCTTTCAGCCTCCCTTGCAGAGGCAGCGATGATGGAAAAACTCCAATCTAAACAGTCTGCCCTCTGACCAACCAGTACACAAACTTGACCAGCATTTTTCTCTCTACTGCATGGCGCCACATGCATCTGTGAAAAGACACAAGTCTATAAAGAACTGTGGGAAAAAGGGCCTTGACCCTGAGAAACACTCCCTCTACACTAGAGAATTCATTCCCAAATCCCCGTCTGCCACGCTCTACCTGCATTCCACACTACAAATGGCCAGATCTCAACACAAACTGCAATAACGTTCAAGCTTTGCTCAGATCTGTTGTTATGGTTTCCAAAAGATTTTGATCATAACCCCACAATTCCACCAGGCATCACCAGAAAGCTGTCACATCTTATTCTGCAAGCTTCAGATCTCCAATAGCAAGCGAGTCTGTGCCGCACACACACTCAAATTGCGAGCCGCTAGTTTTATTCAAGGCACAGACAGCAGTGTTTTGTCTGTGCTGTATGGAAATAACAGCAAAAGGAGCAGGGCCCCACACAGCTAGAGCTTTTTTGCATCTAAATTGAACTATATTCAGAATCAGGAGGCATCTTGGGAAGTCGTGCCCTTGAGGAACGCTGGATTTCTGAATAAAATCTCTAATGGCTGTGGCACAGAAATGCTTGTGCGCTGAATTGAAGTAAACAGGTGAAGGGAGCAAATGAAGAGTCTTGACTACCTGCCTGAGGGTTTTCTCAATACTTTAGATTGTGGCCAGTATCGATGTAAAGCTATAAGAGGTGATCCGTTTTAATCGGTATAGACAACGCGCATACAATGAGGAGTTGATGCTGGGAGAAGGTTCGAACACTGACATGGTGTCTTTCATTGACGCAAACTTGCTGTGCTTACCAAGCCGTTTTGGTTTATAAACACAAGCTGTATTGTAATCCTAACATGTCATTACAGATGTCATGCTCACAATGAAGCGGGTACTTGGTGGTTTATGAGAGCATTTGGAAAACATAATGAATGAGCAAAACATGTCACCTGTTAACACTGGAAAAATAACTCAAACAATGCATAAATATTATCTCATCTAAATAGCTATTGTTTGGCAAAGACAAAATTACAAACATTTGTTTAAATAAACTTTGAAAAACAGACATGCAATCAACATCCAATCCTGTTTGTCCCTGTTGTATTTTTTTATAATCTCCTTATGCGGTAAGTACAAACAAATCACAGCTCGGCTGGAAAAAAAAATCTGCAAAGTTTGAGAGGTTTGTGGGATGGTCAGCGATCTCTGCTTGTTCTGAGGAACTTGTTCAGGTGTGGCCTCCATGAAAGTCACTTGAGTCCAGCTGCCATTTCCCATCCTACATGATGGGACAACTACAGCATGCAAGAGTATGACAGAGCTGTCTTTTAGTGGCAGTTTACTTCCGAGTGACCAAAGCTGATGACATGCAAAAAGACCTTCACAGTCCTGACCTCGTTCTCCTCAAAACAGTCTAATTTGAGTTGCCAGACAAAGTGCATAAATACAACTAGTAAACCCATAAATAGTCGGTACAGCCCAGTGAATGTTTCTAAAAAATTACAAGGTTTGCTTTGCTTTACTAAAAACAAGAGCAAAAGGAAGTAGATTGACTATACAAGCAACATAATTGCATGCCTTGAAAATTGCTATGTGCAACCCTTTGAGTGCAATTCTGCATGCATGCATTGCAAAAGACCTGAATAAGTCTGTTTTAAAGGCTTCAAATCACACTTTAAAGGAAGAAAGCTGAGCAAGTGACATTACATCAATTAAGTATAATAAATTTGTACAGAATTGTGCGTGTGCATTATTTTATAATTTAGTGGCCCTAATTATTCCACTTATATTTCAGTTACCACCTGTACGGTCCCACTTTGTAGATGGCCTTAATAACTATGCACCTACTGCACACATTAAGCAGTTGAAACAATGATGAAAGTACATTGTATCGAATGTTTTATGTGTGCAGTAGGTACATTGTTAATAAGGCCAACTAATTTAACAACCCAGGCTCATTCTGAAAACTAACTGCTTTATACATTTCTGGAGAATGCCAAATACACCCCAGGAGCTACGTTTTATTTTTTTTTTCGGGTTTTGTTCTCACGAGGCCACTTTGAGTGTACGCTTTTTCAGCCCTCAAATATTTCTCATGAGAAATATCATTCACACCTGCTATTCTTGCTTAAATCCACCAGAGGCTATCAACTGACTGAATGACTGATTGAATGACTGATTGACTGACCCACCCTTCTTCTTTCCTAAACACAACCAATAGTTTTAAAAAGTAATCCAGAAAAAGAAAAACCCTCGCCTGATTTTTTGTATATTTACATTTACATTTACATTTACATTTAGTCATTTAGCAGACGCTTTTATCCAAAGCGACTTACAAATGAGGACAAGGAAGCAATTTACACAACCAAGAGCAACAATGAATAAGTGCTATAAGCAAGTTTCAGGTCTGTAAAGTCTAAGAAGGGAAGTATTAGTAGTATTAGTATTAGTATTTTTTTTTTTTTTTTGTATTTACAGGTTTGACCACATTCTCACCCTGTTATTTAATAGTTTATTTAATTTTTTGGCTTCTGTTTATGTCTTACCTGCTTTCTGTAATCGTTCTTTGATGGACTCAAACCCCATTGTCCTGGTCTACTCCTCTCTGCATCTCAAGTTCGCCGACGTACATGGCAAGATAACTGGACGAACTGGTAACAGCTGAAAAGCTGTCCATAGGGAGGTAAGCGGTCAGCTGGTAAGCGTGAAAAAGGATGGCATCATACGGCCCTGTAATGTTTGTTTTAAAGACAAAATGCAGCAATAAGTAGCTCTGGCTACATAATTTGCGATCTCCAGAAATGTATATAGGGCTACATTTTCAGAACGAGCCTATGTTGCGACATAAAGTGGGACTGATATTTGCTTGAATGCTATACAAGCTGCCTTGTGTGCCTGAGTGGATATTTCTGGGCAAGACCACACACAAGTACTGTAGGAGGTGCCCAAAAAAGCCTCATTGTAGGGGTCAGTGGTTCAGCACTGGCCTTCATGTGGAGTTTAATGAGCTCCGGTCAATAGCGAGCAGAGGCGTACAATGGGATACAATAGGATGAGCTGCAAACCACAGCTGACCGAAACCTCACCAATGCACTGTGCTGTGGCTTGCTGGCAGCCAACCAGACCCGTGCAGCCGTGGTCTCAGAGTGGCTCGATTTGTAGAGAGGAATCAAATCAGGCCCAAAACGACTACACTCTTGGGATGCCAGTTATGAAGCGAACTTTCTGCACATTGTGGTGCTGAATAACTAAGTATTTTGAGAATGAGGAGAAATATTGTGTTAGGACAAGACTGTGATTGACCCAGAACGATCAATTCTGGCACTTAGGAAGTGATTAATGCAAGGGAGCACATAGCTGTGATCCAGAGCTATTTTGGGCTAATTAGAGAGGAAACGATCCCGAGACTGCCCAGCCGTCTCAGTATCTGTCAAGTTATCAGGCTAGTGACAAAGAACAGAGCACAGCCCAAGGTTGCACTCGAGCAGGACAGGCATGCATTTAGTGCAGGCGGGATGCCCAATTACACCCACAGCAGAGAGACCCCACCGGGATATTTATAAAGACAGCATGACAGAGATCTGATCTTTCCAAGATGCACAGGACATAAGCGCCGAGCCAGTTCCTACTGCTCAGGGATGAGTTAAACAGCACCTCATCCAAACTAAGCATTCAAGTGAACTCTCTGAAAGCCAAACAAAAGCTTATCCACCAAGCCAACAGCTAACTATACAACAAGGTGTATTCAATTTTAGTAGCTAGAGGGGGAACACAAATGCAACACCTTCATTTTACACTTCTAGATCTTGTAACTCTAAAAGATGCAAGATACTGTGGTGAAGATTTCTGGTGGTCTATTAACACATTAGTCAAGTGGAACTGACAGACGTGACATTGTACAAACGTGAACCTGCAAACAAACGTAGTTTAATGCACACACAAAAGCAGGCGTGTACGGCAGTCAGTTGACCGCGCGCGAGTTTCATACACAGCCGATGTGGTTAAAAACCACTCCACAATCACAGCGCATGTATGAAACTCAAAACACCGCGCGATATCATCTCAACAACAAGCCGCCGTGACTTTCCTCAACGCCCAACTTCGATAACAGAGACTATCTGAACTTCAGTCCTTCTCTCACACGGAGTCACGAAGACATTTTATCTGACAACCACGAGTAACTTCTACTTAAATGTCTCAGGGTAAGTATCGCGAGCGGTAAAACAGTCGATATAGCAACAAACACCTACCATTCCGATGCGGGTTAAGGCTTGTCATCTGGGGTTTTAGGGCAGACGGATATCCAAAGCGCTAGTTTCATGTTTTGCGTGTCAACACGGGGTTTTGTGGAATAGCGGCGTTTATGCGTCGCCGTTTAGACTCTGCGTGCTGACAGCAGCCAGTGCAGAATGAGCAGAGCCACAGCGCGCGCGGACAGGGCAGTTCCTCACACACATACACACACACACACGGTGGGGCGGGAATATATAAACGGAGACACTATAAACGACTACCAGAAACACGTTACCTAGGAACCAACGAGAACGATATAAAGACAGATACTAGGATTCATGCATTTACATGGAAAGACAGATATACATAAATACATAGGCTGACAGATAGATGCATAATACATTAATACATACATAGATGCCTACATACATGGACAGGCAGATAGACAAAGAGGTAGATAATAAATATGTGTTATCTAAAGACATTGTATCAAGACCTACATATTTTATAAGGCAGTTTTTTTTTTTCTCAGTGGACTTGAAGCATTTGTGAAGCATTCAGAAAAATGTTACTTTTTGTCATGCTTTTAGCTTACGTTGTTTAAAAGTGGAAATTAGTATGAATTAATGCATTTTATCACTGCAGTTTGTAATTTTTAGCTGTTTAACTGTTTGCGGTTGTGCCTTCCGTAATTTGCAGGGCCCCACATACCTTGTAGATTGGTACTGAAAGCAGTTAATATTGAGCAGCAGGGCTGCTGAACAACTACTGAGAAATTGCAGCTGCTCTCTGGGGTTTCCATGCCTTTTTACACCTTCCTTACTTCATGTGTTTAATATTTTTTTTCCTACATACACACGCATACATACAATTATTGAATATAAATGTATATATACAGTTAAAGAATGATATTTTCCATTTATTTCAACTGTGTGCTGCAATATTCAGCTGAATAAAATTAAATTACTTTTGCAATAGCCGTTAAAAAAATGCAATTAGACATTTTCTCCAAATTTCACAGTAATCAAACATCAGATTCAGCCAGCAACATATTTTTTATAACATGTTGTTCAAAATATGTTATTGTTTTGCTAAATTTTGGATTTCAGTAATTTTAAGATTAATAAGTGAGTAAATAAATTTTAATTTTATTGATTTAAGAATAATAAGTAAGTAGTTAATAGTTGCACTTTACTCAGTGTATAAAGATGATAATCCTGGTGGAAGGGAGAAACAGCCGATTCGAATGTTATCACTCGAATAAATTGGCATTATCATTGGTTGTCAGCTGATGGATATGGGCCAGTAGGGGCCTTTTGCGACTACTAGTAGGCTCAGAATGCTGCTATCATCCATGCATAGATGGATGATAACAGCCTTCTGAGCCTACTAGTACGTGCAGAGGACCCCTACTGACCCATATCTATGAGCTGATAACCACTGATAAAGCCCATTTAATCGAGTGATAACATTCGAAGCAGATCCAAAGATGTTACACAAATAATGTTTTTATTGGATTTAATAAGTTTTTTGTAAGGTAAGTGGTTGCAAATAATTTAAACAGCTGAATTTAAATCGAGTAATGTTCAAGTAGTTTTTTTTATTTGTTTGTTTGTTTGTTTAAACTTAGCCCATATAAACAGTTTGCAACCTTTTATCTTACAAAAAAAAATCAATAAATCCAATTAATCGTTTTTTTCAGTGAAAGGATTTGAGCAGAAGGAAAAGGGAAGAAAGGGTACTGCAAAATGCATTATTTTGCATGATCTCAGTCTGGGATGTACTTGTAGATGTCCTTTTTTTTGCTACCATCCACAGCAAAGCCCCAAACGAGGCCTTTCTAACATCTTCAGCAAAGACTGAATAAATACATAAGAGAAGCTTTGACGTACTGTGACGAGGCACACTCTTTATACTGTTCCATTTGTTTGGCATTTGCCGGTTATAGTTCATTTATCAAAGGATGGCCTGGGTGGGTGTGGAATTTCCCAGCCTGAAATTATGTCCTTGACCACCTCTGCATGAAACTCTGTTCTATATCTCAGATCCCACTGAGGAATTCCAGCTTTAGCCTGTAAATATACATATATGTACATAGGTATGTAAAATAAATGGAGTTACCTATACCTTTATATCAGTGCAGAGGTGAGATTCTGTATAATTGCTAAAACCTCTCACTGCATGACTCACTGGTCATTCTGCATGTAGCTAGAAAGAAATTATAAGATTTGCCTCTAATTCATCATTAATTCTTCAACTGTATGCTTTAGATTGTTTTTTTCTGTCCATGAAGTATGAATTAAATTCACTGAAGAGGATCTAAGCTTGGCTGTAAACTTTTAATAAAGCGTAGAAGATTAAACCGCACAACTAACAAGAAACACACACTTATGTAACCACCCACTCGTGGTTATCTTTGCCCCATGGCTGTCTTTGCTCATTTCTAAAGACAAATAACAAAGAGCATTGGTTCGGTATACAGGCACCTGACAAGGTGTGCAGGTCTATTAAAAGCTAATGGGCCTGTTAAGTTCAGCTGAGCCTGCTTAGCCTTCAGGCATAAGTTACCGGAGAAGACATTTGAAGAAGAGATCATGGGGGTTTGGTTCCAGTCATGCCTGAAATTCTATGGACCATAATCTCAATAAAGGTAGAGACCCCTCATCTCTCAGCACCTCTACCCTCCTCAATCTGTCTTTGTCACAGAGTCTCCGCCAGCTATTTCTTTTCACCCCAGGTCCACAATAAACTGAAAGTTACCTCCAAGCTAGAGATTCTACCTTTATACAACTTTCTTAACCTGTAACCTTGCATAACCAAAGTAACCAACACAGGCTCACTGTGAATACTTACCCCATATACATTTCTGGAGAGAACAAATTATGTAGCCAGAGGTCTGTGTTGTTGCATTTCGTCTTCCAAATGAATGCGACGGGGCGGTATGATGCTGTCGACAGCTTCTGTTTCTTTTCATGCTATCAGCTGACCATTTACCTCCATGTGGACAGCTTTTCCGCTGTTACCTATTTGTCCAGTGGCTTGCTGCGTATGTTGGTGGACTTGAGATGCAGAGTTAACTGCAATGACGAGGGTTAGAGTCCAGTGTAGACCATTTCCAGAAATCAGATAATACAAAAACAAAAGGCAAAAAATCAAATAAAAGTAAATAGCAGGGTGAGAACGTGATAAGATCTAAAACAAGGTAAAAATTAGGCGTTTTCTTTTTCTTTTTATCGATTGCTTTTGAAAACACTATTCAGTTTAGGGAAGGGGTGGGTGGGGTTATCGGTCAGCCAGTCAGTTGACAGTGGCTTCTGGTGGATTTGCGAAAACAAAAACAAAAAGTAAAAACATACCCACTGGGACATATTTTACGCTCTCTACAAATGAATACAGGGGTACATGCCCATAATGAGCATGGGTTGCAACTGTGGCAATATCAAGACCAGTGGCATAGCAGACGAGCCCAAAGAGCATACACCGTGGGGGGGACCAATGTGATAAACGTGATAAATCTGTGCCCATGGTCATGACCTTCGGAATCAGCCAGAGCCAGTCTCTTTTGTTTGAGATGATTGGACGAGTATGTCTTTTTCAGAAAAAATCAGATGAAGGATGATACAGACTAAAAGCAGGTGACAGCAAAGACATTAACTTTTAACATAGGCTTATTCTGAAAACGTAGCCCTATATAGATTTCTGGGGATCCCAAATCAAGTATCCAGAAGTATGTATGGCTGCAATACTCTTTAAAACCAAAGCTCTGGGGTGGTATGACACCATTTCTTTTCTCGATTACCAGCTAAAAGCTTACTTCCAATGGACTGCTTTACAGCTGTTATCAGTTTGTCCAGGTAGCTAACCTTGTGACTTGAGATGCAGAGAGGAGTCGACCACGATGACAGGGTTTGTGTCTGGTAAAGAGTGGTTCCAGAAAATGGGTAAGGCAAAAAACAAAAGCTAAAAAAAAAAAAAAAAAAAAAAACAAGTAAATAGCAGAGTGAGAATGTGGTAAAATGTGAAAACATGGTAAAAATCAGGCAAGGGCTTTTCTTTTTTTGGATTGCTTTTGAAATCTGTCGGTCGAGTTTGGGGGAGTGGGTAGCCAGGTCAACTGGTTTAGGGAAGGTGGAGGGTGGGTCAGTTGATCAGTCAGTCAGTCAGTTGACAGCAGTCTCTGGTGGATTTACATGAGAACAGCAGGCACAAATGGCACTAGTGAGAGGAATTTAAGATCTCAAAAACGTACACAGCAGCCTCTGATGGATTCGTAAAAACAAAAACGGCAAAAAACAAACCTCCTGGGATGTATTTTATATATTATATCCAGAAATATAAATGTAGAGGTAGGTTGTCAGAAGAAGCCTGGGTTGAAAACTTTCTATAGTCTATGATACAAAAGCTCTGAGATTCTGAGAAGATCATGGAAGCTTGTATAATAAAAAATGTATAAATTAAAACAATAGTAATTGTTTTAGCAGGAATTGCTGCTTTTATGTCACATTTATTATTTCTAAATTCAATATTGGAAGTTATCATCTAGCAATTCCTTCATTTTGCAGAGAACTATGACTTCATAAACACATTGTGGGGAATTGTTTTTTACAAAAAAAATAAAAGTCAGAATTGTGACAAAGAATGTGAAGTTTTCATTTTTAAGGAAAAAACATAAAAAATTGTGAGGTATAAACTCCAAATTGTCAAATTTATAAAAAAAAAAACAGTTTTGATAAGTTTCTGATCTTTTTCTTTTCCATTTTATATTTTTATATCTCAAAACAGCACTGTAATTAAAAGGAAAATAAATAATATATAAAATAAATATAATAGAAGGGACAACACATTTTGTTTTATTTTTAAATTATTTTAATCATTTTTAATAAATTTTTAAGTTTGAGAAAATGGCTCAAAAAACTAAAAGTTTTTTTTAACTACATGTCTAAAAAGCATATGAATTATGTATTCAGCCTCTCCTCATAGGGGGGCAGGACCATTTTTGGTTTGTTAATAGAACTAGCACACTCCTCAGCCGGTAAAGTGCATATATAATTGTTGTTGCATGCCAGATATTTCACAGCTTGTTAAACAGCACTGTCTGCCTTCCAAATGGACTGTATCGTACAGTCTGTTCCTGAGGAGACCCATTTTTTAAACCCTCTTTCTCAACTATAAACATTTCTGTAGCACAATTTATTGTATCATA